GTAGTGTTCAGAGATGCTACGACCACGGCATCTGGGAACATGTTTGAGCCAACCAGCCATTCTACTCCTTGAGCTCAGGCGATGCTTATAGAGCGCTGGTGAGAACTTCTAATTTTTCTAAGCCCTTCTTCAACACGAGCAAGGTTTTGGTTGGCTTTGGTCACCCTTTGTTGTAGGGAGTTCAGCTCGTTCAAAACCTTTTCCCTATCAGCTTATGCCTTCTTTGCACATTCCTCAGAGTGACCAACCTCATCCTTCGCCGTCTGAATCCCACTTTCTTGTTCTGCTTGAGCTCTCTCTAGCTCCTCCTTCAGCTCGTTCACTTTGTTGGCCAACTCATCAGCTCGACTCTCAGTTGACGCAGCTCAGTTGGTCATCTCGGAGCTTTGCAAGCAGTTGACCTCATCCACCAAGCTTATCTTCTCAAAAGTCAACCATTTGCAATTGTCATTGAGCTCGCAAGTTTGAGCGTGAGCCCTTTGCTCACACTCAAAAAGTGCGACCGTGTAGTTGAACGCCTGCCACATAAATTCAATTGTTAATTTTTAACACAAAATTGAAAAAGTGTAATAATATAAATGCTTGATGAGAATACTTACGTCCATCAACTTCAACATAGCAGCATGGCCCCCATGTTGCTGAATATGCCCTTTTGCATGCAGTTGAATATGCCCCTTTGCACGCTATCGATTTGCCAAAGGAACAAAACTTTGCATACCTTGCACTATGGTAGCTTGACAGTCAGTTTTGACATACCTGCAGCCCTCAGGGTATGTAATCCTTGGCCCTAGTATAGATGTTGATGCAGGTAGAGGCTCAGCAACATCACGTGGTGGCACATTGGATGAGCGCATTGTAGCAGGCAGAACGAGCTAAGTCCCTAAGCTTGTCCTCCACTGGATGAGTGGTATGTCATCCTCAGCATCAGAGTCATCACGAATAGGCCTTCTTAAGCTTGAAGGCGTAGTTTCAATTCTTTGCTCAGCATGGGGCCTCGATGCCAAGCTTGAACTTTTATGTTACGAATTGCACCCCGGTGCCATAGGCGACCGTTCGTCAAAATGAGTTTGCCTTTGTGAGCTAGACCCTGCCCCACGGTTTCATGAGCTCTGAGCTTGCTGACGTTGCCTCTCCAATACGCTACTCATTTCTCCTACACAAATAAATATATAAGACTCATATTGGCTAGAAATCATGGTATGTAATAGAAATATACCTTCGGCATATAGGTTTGCCACATCGACAAAACCAAATAAAGTGAGCTGCTCGAGGGTAACCGAGCCTTTGGATCTACTAATTCTTCTTCCCCTGCGTAATCTAGCAGCTTGTTCTTTAAATCTACATCCCCCAACACCAGCGTGGGGTAGTTCATATACGTGTGGCCTAAGCACCATTTAGAGAGACGAGTTGCCAGCTCATTATTAATTCTCTTTGCCCGCGTATCTCGTACAAAAATGAAATGCCTCTTCCATCTAGTGATTTTATTCCGTACGTTTGTGAAGATCATCATCTTCTCTTTTCCAGAAAATGTAGTACCACCTCGTCTGAGTATTACTAAGCTAGCATAAGAATAACGACCTGAATACTATCACTTTAGCTAGTATCTCTAGCTTCGCACATAGCAGCAGCATATATCCCACAATAAATTTTATGTTTTTCAGCATCAGCTATGTCAGTGCCAGCTCGTACTCCGCCAACAAGTCAAAAATTAACCTTGTTAGGGGCAAACGCAGGCCGACATCAAAATGATCTACGTACACTGGTATCTAACCCGTTCTTGATACTGTACATGCCCTCTCATTTTGGGTGCCAACTCGGATTAAAATTATCCCTGAAATTTGGTATTGTCTTACCATCTCTTCTGATTTTTTTTACCCTTTAACTGTGACTGAACCATCTGCCATGTCATGATGAAGTGCCACCCTAAACCTAAAGCCGACATGAAGAGTTTTTGGGGCTTTACAGAGATTGTCCAATCTCCTGCTAATAACCTTATTCTCCCATTCTTCGAGCATAACCACATTCGCCTCTATACTTGTCACTGACGGACTGATAGTACCTTCTCCAGCATCCCCCACATCACTGGGTGTCCTCTCTAAAGATGAGTCTTTAGAGGATGAAGAACGGTGGTCGTCAGAATCACCACCTGCACTTGAACCAACGCTACTCTCCGGTGTGATAGTTTTTGGCAAATTCTGTAATTCCAACGGCACTATCATCGTAATCGGTTCCATTGATATAAGACCCTCTTCTTCTTCCCTCCCCTGGCTACCCTGAAACTCTCTTAGATCTTGAAAGGAGTCCATTTTTACTTGGATATTGGAAATCTGGTGTTCTTTTGCGTCTAGGGTTTTGAGAAATACACCTAAAATACTTCTGTAGCTTTTGCTACGAAAAATGACAAGAGGTACTATAAAATGAAATAGAGAAATGGTTAAGTGATTGTTTCTGTTGCTTCTCTGAAACAAATCACGCACTTGTAAATGTCGTATACGTGTTTTTGACGTACCAGTTAATCACCCACACGTGGTAGCCATTTACGGTTGGGCGCGTAATACCCGTTGCCTGCTGTTGTCACATCCCTTCAAATGCTGAGCCAACATTTATTGTGGGGAAGGCAGAGGGATATCCGTTGGCAAAAGAATATCAAAGACCCTGAACTGTATTTCCTTAGAGATTTGTTCCATTTTGAATTAAGATTTGCTTCATTTTAAATTTTGAAAGACGTCCAAAGTTGTGGTCATTGCATTCTAGCCTAGCTTCATAACCACATATCTTTAGAGATCTCAGATCGTGACAAGATTCACATCTCTTTAGAGATCTCAGATCATGACAGGGTTGAGATTGTTTTACTTTAGCTTGTTCCTCTGATGAGATCCACTTCTTTTTGAAATTTTGAAAAATGTCTGTGGTTGAGGCCGTCGCATTTTAGCTAGGCATTGTAACCACATCTATTTAGAGATCTCAGATCATGATAGGGTTGAGATCATTTTACTTTAGCTCATTCTTGTAATTGTGTGACAACCTCGTTACTTTGCTTTAAAATTTTCGAAAGATTGCCATGGTTCAGGTTGCTATACGTGACACACATCTTACCAAGAGACTCCACCTCCTTCTGGACATACCTCGCTTGAAAGATTGGAAATTCGTTATTTGAATACACCCCTTACGAGCTTGTTGAGCTCGCTAATGGACTGAGTTCATGTAAATAAGACCAGGTCGCCCAGGTATTAGTTCACCAACTGGGATCACGCTAATATCAAGTCGCTCCATGGTTAGGTTACTTAGGTGCAACCTTTTCCGCAAAGGCTTCATAACTTGGGGTTCAGTTCAGACACGTCACAGCTCGTTCAAACCGAACCTTCACTTTTGGATGTGTTATCCGTACTGTATGCTTCAGCTCGGCCACTAATGAGGTTGTTTATAAATGCAAAAGGGTGCAAACCCTATCTTCAAGGCTTAATGTTGGGCCATGAATGCAATTACTCCAGTTCGTCAACCAAACACTGAGGGGGGAGTAATGTTGGGAATAGGTCCAACATCCTACCTGGGCCATATACAACAAGCCCAAGAGTTCATCTTTAGGCCCACAATGAAGACACATCCATGTACTAATTCATACATACCCACATGGGTGCATATAAAGGGACTAATCAGAGGCACACACGTGTAGCTTTATGTCAAGACTTAGGGGTTATAAATACTCCCAACTACCTTCATTTAAGGTATTAACTCCATTACGCTTCTCTCTTTAAAATATTGAGTATTGGTAAATTGAGTATCGAAATATTTTCCCTGAAGAAACATCCTCGAGATTTTCAAGTGTTGAAGCAATGGAAGATATCTACAGTATAGGATCGTGAAGCTGTTAAAACAATTGCCATCCATAAACTCAAACCAAGGCTTGTCCGTCTCTTTTCTTCGCCATTCTGTTTATATTTCATCACAGTATTACCCACGCCAAATACAACATTGTACTAAGCGGAGAGGAAGAGAGAAGAAGAAAAGGAGGAGGAGATGTCGTACCTGCTACCTCATCTACAGTCAGGCTGGGCCGTCGATCAGGCCATTCTTGCCGAGGAAGAACGCGTCGTCATTATCCGATTCGGTCACGATTGGGACGACACCTGCATGTAGGTACTCTCTAATCTCTCTTTCTCTATTCTTCAAAATTAATTTCATTACTTCTCAAGTTTTTTAGAGTCACCGTTCTTGTTCTCTCCAATTTCGATAATATCCTTCTATTTGCAGATGAAATCATTCAATTCAGATCCAGAAAAGAGAGATGAGTCTTTCGCAATTCTTCAAGCTTGACTTCATGCATTCTTTTCTTGATTTCAAGTGTTTTATAATTGATAGCCGAAAAAAAAGAGTTGTTTTCGAATGAAATCGGTGAATTTAGATGCAGAAAAATCAAATGAAGTAATCATGTATAGAATGACTCAATTAGAATGAGAATGAATAGGTTTATCTTTGTTCATGCAGAATCGCAAAAGGAAGAGAAAACTCGAATAAGGCACACATATTCAAAAAGAATCCTCATATTTTTCATTTTTTTTATTTTTGGTCCTTTGTTCTCCGGGAAAGGAGAAGGGTACGTACAGGGCGTGCTATATTGTTTGGTTAAACGGTGTCGTTTAGTTGGCTCGCTACCGTCATTAGGCATCTAAGCATACGTAGAGCATGTTTGGTGTGGTTGGTACTTTTTATGGAAGTTCTGTTGAAAAGAATCTGATGTAAAAGTGTTATTTTTGAGAAATTGAAAGTATTTGGTAAAATTTTGTATGAAAGTACTTATAGAATAAAAAGTTGTTTGATAAATTTTTTTGTAAGAGATCTTTTAATATTGACATAACTAAAAAAGACATTTTCTAAAAAAAAGCATTGTTTCTCTTCTTTTTTTTTGTGATATTTTTATAGAGTTTTAAATTTTGTTTTAATTTAATTATATTAAAATTGATTATTACAAATAAAATTTTTTATTTATTAAATATAACTGTTAGTAATTAATAATTTTATATAAATAAATAAATAAATAGTTATATTTTAATATTAAAAAATAAAGCATTCTTTCTCTCTTTTTTTTAAAAAAAATTTACTTATCAAGATATCTATATCATTTATCAAGAATTTTATAATTATTTTTATTGAAAAAAAAATCTAAATACATCGTGTGGTTGGGAGCCTATTGATAAAGACAATATCACCGTCCATGATTCTTCTGTGCACAACCTGACCAAGCCTCAAAAACATATGGCCCTTGGACCCTTCCCTTAGTGACCATGTCAAAGAACCGTCTCTATAAGTCAAACACAACTTGTTATCTACAAGATTTTGTAGATATGTCAAGTTGTGCATGTTAAGCCCCTCTTCAAAGGTGATTTTCTGAGCAATTTCAGATGGAATTCCAATTTCATTAACCCTCTTGTATGAATCGCCAGTGATCACACTTCTTCGAGAGAATCCAAAACCTTTTCTAATTAACAGTGTCTGCATTTTCTCTGGCCATTCCTTAGTTGAGGTGGAGGGATCAGAGGCCTCCTGGATCCCAAGGCGAGAATCTATGCTTCGAGATGCTTTTGTGGTGCCTCTAACTTGCAGATACTGATTAACTGCAGATTGCAGATCATTGGCTTCCACTTAATGGGCCTCAAAACTTGGGGTACCAAATTGCGAAGTCTCTATTACCTCAATTTGCTTAAGAACTCTCTTTAGCAATGATATAGAGAGATCCTGCCAATACAAAATAAAATATCAATGCAGAAAGAACTGCAGATAGTGAAGAGTATTACCAATTAGATATCAAGATTAGCAATCAAATTAACTCACAATTTCTTACTGAAGACATGACGCTGACACCATCAGAAACATCTGGGACAGACAGACAATTAGGTGGAACAGGCAGATACTGGATAATATATCCATCTTGAGGAAAATAGCCTTTTCCAGAAAGCTTCCTCGTCTCAGCAAGAATTTTTTTCAGAATTTGCATCATCTGTTGAATGTTTAACAGTCACCAAATTTAACAGACAAATGGATGGACTAAAAAGGAACCCAGGAAGCCATTAAATTTTGTAACAAAAGCAACATTCTCAAACAGAGATCATAACACATAAAGCATATTTTTCAAAAATCTATGCTTTCCATGACTTTACATTTAGTCTCTATTCACCATACTCAAGATCCAAGGCGCTGCTACTTGTGACAGCTTTCAATCTGGAGCAAAGAATGATTTATAACTACATTTAACTGCTCAGATGAGTTTTAGGAATATGTCTCATCCGAATAATATATGACCAAACTAGAAAAATCAAGTAGACACCATAAGAGATAAAGAACAGATTAGTCACCCTAAAACAAATGCATTACAGTTAAAGAATCATCATGGTAACAGAAGATATATATATATATATATATATATATATAAATAAAGAGGGAAGGGTGGGGGGAACCAAATGCATTTACATGCACAACCATGCCCTAGTAACATTTTTTTTTTCACCATCATGCCCTAGTAACTGACTTGCAGTGTATTGCAGAGAGAAGAATTCAAATGTAAGATTTCAAAATAACATAGTGATGGTAAATGCAAACAAAATAGAAGCCATGGAGAAAGGTCAATATATGCAATGCTTCCGATATCAATTATCAATCGAACTAGTAAAGATTAAGCACCAAAACATTAGGGCAGCAGAAGCCAAACCTCAGAAGGTGGTAACACCATCCCCATAGCGGAAACCATATCTCTCTAAGAAATTCCAGAAACCATCTGGTAGTTGTCTTGATCTAGATGGCTTCAATTTCAAATAATAAACACTATCTGATGTTTTATCCACATGGACAGAAACTGGTGGGGGATTCTGTGAAAAAGAAAAGGGAAACAAGGGGATATCATGCGTGCCCGGTCCATTTATCAGCTGAATTGGTTAAATACACACAAATAGCATAAGCAAATAGTTTGCACTCAAGAAAAGAATATGGAGAACCAATACAAACCAATACAAACGCCCGATGCTGCCTCATGCGCTTTTTCTCCTTCCTTCTCTTGACACTCCCTTCATTAGGATTGTTGGGAAGAATTGGCATCCCCGGTACATACTGTACCCAAGCATATGGCCCTGCATAATAATCGAATTAATTAGCATTTCATTTCCATTTCTTCTTCATCATCTACAGTTTCTAATCAGATCAAAATTAGCATATAGAAACAAAGCAAAGCAAACAACTTTCTCCTAAACAATCTCTAAAACCCTCATTAGTTACAACCTATAAACCCTGCAACAAGTTTTCAGCTGATATTCGTAGATCAAAATTAGACATGAAAGCTCGCCGGAATAAATAATTTTAATATATAGAGTTTAGGCAAATGAACTACCTGGAGGTCTCAAGCTCGCTTGCTTTCGTCGCGGCTTGTCTTGGGGTCTTCTCTTCGGGTAACGAGTATCTGTTAAGCTGTGAAAGTGAGAAGACACCGGAATCAATGGAGATTGTCCGTGAGCCGCCGGAGCAAAAGCGAAGCGGAAATCAGATTTGGGAAACGGAATAGAGGAGAGAAACGATGTCGCCAGACATGTGGCGGAGGCGCGGGACAGTACGGTGCGAGATAACGATCGAACAACAGTTCTTAAAGCCCCAAATCTCATTTCCAGATCATCGAGCGGCGCCCCCTCTACCTCTAGTCAAGCTCTGCTTTGATCTGAGACGAGGGCAGCGGCTTGAAGACGATCGGCTAAATGGCACGGCGCGGTACTAGACCGTGGTGGGGGGAGAGGGACGAGCGGTTCCACACTTGGGAGCGTAGCGGCAGCACAGGAGGACGCGGGCGGGCTTGGAAGAAGATGGGCAAGAAGGGAGGGAGAAAAATGCAGATCTGTTGCTTCAGAGAGAAAGAAAGAAAAACGCAGAGATTGTTATAAAATTAACCCTTATATAGTGGTTTTTATGTAAATAAAAAGAAATGTGAGGATAAAATGGGAATACCATGTCAATTTCATTAATCCAAAAGCTAGAAGCTGCCGCAAAAGCAAGAAATTCATGCTTCCGAAATTTTCAAAGGAAAGGGGAGAAGCTGAGCGAAGGAGATTTGAGAGAAAAGAGAGATGTCCTATTTGCTACCGCATCTGCACTCAGGGTGGGCAGTGGATCAGGCGATCCTGGCGGAGGAAGAGCGGCTCGTGGTCATCCGGTTTGGTCACGACTGGGATGAAACCTGCATGCAGGTGCTTGGCTAATCTTTGGTCCTCCGTCTATTATTTCCTCTGTATCTAGTTAACAATTACTTCTGATTTTGGTTTTAATTTTGAGCTCTCTTGTTATTAGGAGAAATCCCTCAAGTACTTGGGAATTAAATTGTATGGTGGGCTGGATTCTCTATTTAGGGGAAAAAACCCTAACTATTAGTTTTTTAAGAACTTGTAGAAGTATAATGAACCATATGTTCTACTCTAGGTTGAAATATTCTGTGAACTCTAATTAGTGGCTTGGGTTGGAAAATTGACCATTGTTTGTGTCCACAATCAGTATGGTTCTCGGTTATGGTTCTTTTAGGAATCCTGTAGTTTTCCAGAGGCGTTGGCTTCTATGATAAATGCTGGAAAATGTCAGGATAGCGGGACAGGGCAAATAATTGCTGGTTTGATTTAGAAGTTTGATTAAAACAAATCAGTGGTATTATCTATTGGATTTATGACAATTGCCACCATTGGAACTCTAGAATTCTCGACTAGATTGTTTCAATGGTTTTCTCTTGGATGTCATTAAGCATGTAGTCTGTTTGGTAGTGATTGCAATCTGTTTGTATTTATTTGGGGTTGGAAGTGTTGATGTTTAGAAGATTAAAGCTACTCTCATGCATGCCTACCTGATGCTTGTTCTTATGTCTGAATGGTGTGTGTTGGGTCTGGTTTTAGCATGTTTTAGCATGCATGGGGCCCTGTTACCGGATGAGTAATGGTATTATTAGTTTGGCTATTTTGATGGGAAAGAATTTAACAGAATATTTTTCATTGCTGTTCCAAAAAAAAAAAAGGGGAAAGGAATTTGATTGCTGGGGACTAAGTCACTAGCAGATTGAGTGAAGTTTAGAAACACTCTTTACAATTACAAGTCATTTTGTGCTTCTATATGTGTGCCTCATTTCAAGGATAAAATGTCTAAATTTTGGGGTGTAAGCAATGGTTTTTGTAGGTTTTCTCAGTTCAGTTTCACACTCTGTAGAAATCTCTGCTTTTCACCATATCACTCTGATAACATTTTCTTCAAGCTAGTGCTTCTGCTTTTAAACTTCTTGGAATTAAAATATTATTGAATTAAATGAAATTTCATCATTGATTTTGTTCATCTCAATGGTCCTACATGCGTTATGATGCAGTTGTTTAGTTAAAATATATTGCAATAATGATATCTTAAATTTCTAACAAATTGATAGGGGAACATTTTTTTTCTCTTCTGTTGCCTTAAAGTTTGAAATGTTGCTTGATCTGTGGAGCATGGACCAATATGCCTGGCTAATCGAAACTAGAATGTGCTCCTAGTCAGGGATAATTGTTAACATCTGCTATTTTTAAAATCCACTGCTGATTTACGATCGGAAAACTTTTGAATTCTAACCCATCTCTATGCTAAAATTAAGCATAACAAATAAAGAAAAAAAAATTGAAGTTTTTTGTGCATGACAAAATTCAACTTTAGTCTAAGACCACGTGTTTATATTCCAGATCTCATTTTATTTTTTTGTTAGAAAGTTGATAGTTACCCTCCTTGACTTATTTTTGTTTCATCTAGATTAAGGAATAAAAGTTAATCATTACATGTCTACTATTTAGCTAATTTGATTTGCATTTACAGATGGATGAGGTGCTTGCTTCGGTTGCTGAGACCATTAAGAACTTTGCTGTGATATATCTTGTGGACATAACTGAAGTGCCAGATTTTAACACAATGTACGAGCTGTATGACCCATCAACAGTCATGTTCTTCTTTAGAAACAAGCACATTATGATTGACCTTGGCACTGGGAATAACAACAAGATCAACTGGGCTCTCAAGGACAAGCAGGAGTTCATTGACATTGTTGAGACAGTGTATCGTGGGGCAAGGAAGGGCCGTGGTCTGGTAATTGCTCCAAAAGACTATTCCACCAAGTACCGCTACTGAGGACTCTCAGATTCTGTAATTGATTTTAAACATGTTAAGATCATCTTCTGCAAACTTGTTGCAGACAAATTGCATAGGAATTAAGTACATGTGGGTGTCATTTCTAGTTTTCTACTTCTTTGCATATTTGTGTGATGTTACTTGTTTCTTTTGACATCAAGGTTACTGGACAAAATGAATAATATTGGATGTATTTTGGATATTTTGAGACATGATTTATATTGTTTGTGAGTGGACTATGCGTGGAATAGATTAATTCAACGGAGTAGACTATTGGATATGATTCATGTTCTTTTAGGTTGGCTATGCTTGGGTGTAGGTCTGGAGTGGTTTTACCCTTCGAGGTTATGTTGTTGAAGTTTCACGTCATACGTAGAAACGTCTTTACATTCAAGGAAGCATGTGCTGTCAAGGAAAATCTAGACTTTTTGTCCGTGATCAGGCATCACCCTGCACTAAGGACTCAAATTAACTTACACCACAGTCTGCGGTCCCAGGCTGGTGGACCTCTTTTCCTCTGTCTCAATCTCAAAATAACTTTTGTTTTTAATTTTAAATTTATCTTAAACTAATTATTATTTAT